CATAAACTTTTCCTCTCATCTCAGAAATATACATTTTAATCATCCCTATGGAAAATATGCCTCCATTCCATTCTTCGGAAGGAGTTCACCCACCAACATCTTGATCTCGCGATTAAAATAACCTAAGAACTCATCAGAACTTCCACAGAAGTTATTACAAAAGTAGCATCTCGTTAGTATTGAGTCTAACTCAGTGAACTCCATTTTTCTATCTTGAATTACCTTCATGTTGCACTTGAACAGCAGCAGAACCGGGTCATTAACAGATTGAAAATGAAGCCATTAGTAATTGCAGACTCTTACATAAACTAGGCTGCAATACATTGCAGCATACCACACACAGATGTCTAACGCAAAAGCCCAACCGCAGTTCCACCGCTTTTATTGCAAAGCTCAATGTAGATCAGGATGTATTAGTATAGCTAGCAGTAGAAGAATTCAGCCTCAGCATGGGATGAATGTTTACAGAAACTAACTTACCAAGACTCAATACAAAGGGTTTCTAATGGAAGCACTAGCTCAGGTTACGGAGCAAGTAAAGAGAGAGTTCTCAGTGAACTTACCCTACAAATGGAAAGCAGAAGTTTTTTTGGCAGGACAGTCATCTCCACACCGCTCTTGGGACAGCACCCATACCTGTGAGCTCAAGAAATGCTTATCTCCAGAATTTTCTGCAACAGGACAAACAATGGCAACATAATCTGTTATTTTATTTACTGAGTAGAGCAAGCGTGACACACTGTACTTTTGCAGTAGATAACTTGTAAAATATTTGGTAATGATTTCAGTCTCACTTTTTTTCAGAACATGCAGTGTTCAATAGTTGATTGCTTAAGGGATTTTTGCTTAAGGGATTTTTCTTCCTTTTTGTCTCCCCAAGGTAATTAACATCAGCAGCAAGGGAACGAGGCCTGAGCACAGAAATAGATAGTACAGCCTCAGCTTTTTTGCGGTAAGTGAGGATTTACTGTTGTTTTGAAGTCAGAGACAGACAGACATCCACTTGGCCACAAAAACTTTAGTTACCTAAGCTTAGCCATTCCATTTTAGCGCAGATATTCATAGGCACGCCAGTTCCCACACGCAACGCAGAGCATTTGCACCCGCAGCAGACGCAGCCTTCCTTAAAGGCCATCATAAGCCATTAATTCTTCTGCAAAAAGGCACACATCATCACCTGCTTCCCACCCCACAGAAGCAAGCCTCATTACCAATTTTTTGAGGACACCTGCTGAAATAAGAACAGGACTATATCTAAAAGATCTTCTCCACAGCTTTACTTAAGCAAGAAGGCCAAGCAACCAACATCTAAGTAAGGGAAACCTAGCTTTTCACTATTTAATTTTAGATATTAAGTTGTCTGTCTGGCAATTTAATGCAGCACACTTTACAGGAGGCACAGCTAGGAAGAAGGAAAGCTGCTGCTCTGTTCTCCAACTCAGTTGCCATCTTATTTTGGGGGGGAAAAAGTATACTAGGAAAACTAAAAATGGAAATGGTTGTGAAAGCTTCTTTTGTGAGAGGTATCTGATAACACTTTATGTAAATGTATTAAGCTATTTCTGTGTGATTAAGGTTTAACTCCTTCCTAGTCATCTCAGCCTATTTAGCTTGTTGATACTGTAAACCATACCATAAATCCATAGCAGACAAGACACATACACCACGGGTGCATTTTACCTCCAGCCACTTATCCAAATCCTTTTAAAAAGGGAAATAAACAAACTGAGTTTTCTTCTTCAGCAGGACCCAGCTCCTCTACACCCTATCTCCTGCCTTCAGTACCAGGAGCAACACCACAAAGCAGCCACCACCACACAGGAGCCACTCCAGGCCCCACAGAAGAGACCCCCTCCCCAGGGA